ATCAAGCTTCATCGAAAAAGGTATTTTATAGCCTTTTATACACAGTGTCTCAATTTTTACCAAGTTTGAACTAGTATGGACTGTATGTTCGCATTGGAAAACATGTGTGTGCCTGGTTATCTTAGGAATATAGTGGGGAATTTTGACAGCCATTCCTTGCCCAACAGTGGGGATTTTGACGACAAAATTTGAAAAATGTCAAAATTCCCGTGGGTTGCCCGCACCCCCCCCCCCCCTCAGGGGGAAAACATTGATAGGTGCATTATAATAATGCCAATGGCGACAGCGAAGCACACATACTATAAATCCTAATGTGGTCGCACGACTTCTCTCATGATTTGAAGTTTGAGACTGGTTTTCTGTTGAAATTCGTCCTATTTTAGTTGAAAATGAGCACTTGCAAATTTGGCAATTACTGACTGCGTTGCTTGCTTTTTTGGAGTTAAAACGCAGCCATTTACACATTGTTTATTAGTGTTCTGAATAAGCAGAGAAAACCCCGCAATATTTTAATGCGAGTTTGTTTGTTAATATTTGGGTGCTGTCATTGGTTCTTTTTTGACAATTGACGGGCGAATGGGGCGTGTTATGAAAAGGGGCGTTTTACAAAATACCGGGCGATGGTTGCAGGCCCACTATCAGTTCCTTTGGGCCTGCACGCAGGCTATTCGTAAGAGAAAGAAGTTGTTGTAGAATTTAAGCATCATGCAGTTTAGCTGCATACAAAGCTTATTTCCTGGCTGCTCTGGACGCGTTTCTTATAAACGGTGTGAAGTGTGTGAATGCAGGGTACCTGGTTAAGTCTTAAACTAGTTTCCACTGGTCAGGTCACATGTTCGACAATATGAAAGTCCGTATCTTTCTTTTCTTTTGTATGCTGTAAGCAAGTCACTCTTTACTGACTGCAGAGTTTTCGTTCATTTTGGTTCAATAACGTAAATTGTATATACGTCATTATTATAATTTCAAAGTATAGTATAGGGCCTCGTTTTCGTGTATCTGACATTAGTTAAATCCAATGTTTCAGTCATGGAAACGAGGCTTTATAACAAATGTGACGTGCTTTCCGGAAGCGTGTATTGTAACTGTATGTAAATACTCTTATCCAGCATTTGCCATTGCAAATTAGTTATGAAAAGTTCTGGGTTATAATTAATAAATCATATCGTCATTAATACATCGGTCACCTTGTGTATGATGGTCACAGCAGTTTTAATTCCCGGCATGCATGCACTGAAGACAAGATCCAACTGTGAGTAACATGACAATTTAGTATTGTGTGACTATAAATGCCATAAATATTTAATTGCTGTTGAAAGGTCTTGAAAGGCGCCAATAAACAATTAGTTTAGATAACAAACATTTTTGAGTGCATTGCTATGCGCCTGGTTATTTATCCACCCAACATAATCTGGTTTGATTTAACCAGGAAATCCGCGGTTGGTCAAATTAACTACATGTAAGCAATTATTATGTTAAAATAACCAGGAAAAGGTTAAAAAAGCCACGAGGAAGAGAACTATAACAAGGGATATATTCAGTTAACCCAAATGGGTTATTTCACTCAGTTAACAAGGACATTTTAACCAGAGTGTTCTTAAAATGTAACTATATTTTACTTTTTAGTTAGACTATATTATTTAAAAAAGCATGTATATTAAAATTTACTCTTTAATTAGACAATTATTCATAAACGCTAAATCCGTCACGTGTGGGACAAAAACATTTATGAATAAACAGACAAATTCATATAAAATCCAGTCATGATACCACAAACTCTTACAACTTTAGTGCTATTTTTATCGTTGATCTATAGTTTTGGCCGTTACGACTATACGGCAATATCTATAGTGTTAAAGTATACTATTTAAAACATGAGCAGGATAAAGATACGAGGCGAAGCCGGGTTTTAAATTGCTTCAAAAACGATCCATCTAGTAAGTTCATTGGCAAATTAATTTTCAAAAAATACGTTGTGTAAGTCGAGAAAATCAAAGTTAAAATTTATGTAAATCAAGGGAAATCTCTATCACATATAAAGGTACGACAGGCTTATGATTTTTCTTTGTGTTTTCCCCATGAATTATTATTATATTAATGGTTTTTGAAGCTTAAGTTCGATCTATAATTCTTATAATGCAACAGCTCGTTATCTAGGAATCTCGTTATCTAGTGTGCATGATAAATTAAATTATTCTTCTCCTGTAACTACACAATTGTTCAGTGCGTGTTTGATAAGAAACGTGTTCCTGGGATTTCTAAAATCCAGCAGGACGTATTTTCATCTCAGTTTTCTTCATGGATCTGTTGTCGCTTTTCCATTTCCACCAATCCATTCCTTTCGCAGATATCTCCCCTGCCTTGAGATAGAGACCATTGAGGTTGGAGTGATGACAGTTATTATACCACCAAGCACCTTGGCAGTCCACAGCGCACGAGTAGCCGCCACCCCACTGATCATTATCTCTGTCGTAGGTAGAGAACTTCATTCCGTTGTGATGTTTCAACGAATCACCAGCATTACCTTAGATATAAAATTTCCTTGAAATATTTAAAAGTTTGGGATTTTAGAGTATGTGATACCCTCTGCTAAAAGTTTAAAATATCTACATTATCATATCAACACATTTAAATATTTGCCATTTTTGTGTATTGTCCAATTCTCAATGACTAACCTTTTTGAACATATTTTAATGGTTTACATCAGTGTCCGTGACTTGGGTTTACGACCTTTATTTTATAATTTCATAGTGTATTTGAAATTGCGTTAATACCATTATCTCTCTAGTAGTCTCTGAGTATAGAGTCACTGACAAATTGTGAGTATGGAGCACGTTTTACTCTGCTGATGACTGAAAAAATCACCATCCAGTTGTTTTCCAACAACCGGCGCCAAATATATATATATATATATATATATATATATATATATATATATATATATATATATATATATATATATATATATATATATATATATATATATATAGAGATGTCACTGGCATTACCAATAAAAATATTTATTTCCAGTTTACATGCACTCATATTAAAATGTTGGGGGCTATCATGTTCGGATATTAAATCTTATACTTCCTGGCAATAATTTATATGGAGAATTGGGAAAAGGGAGTATTTCAAATGATCAATTGGAGGGAGCTTAAGATGCACCAAATCTGCAACGCGAACTCGACTAAAAAACAGTCGCTAATAATGCGATGAATTGAATTGAATTGAATTTATTAATTTGTCACAATTGGTTGATACAACAATTAGAAAAGTAATAATTTACAAAAGTAATAAGAAGAAATGAAAAATTGTGACGAGGTAGTCCAACTAGAAGCCGAGGCTTATTAATTGCTAGACTACCTCATGTCAAATATTAAAGAATAAGTTATCTAAATATATATGAGGTAGAATAGTGAGCAGACATATAATAAGGAAACTAATATAATACAAGAATACACACATAATATCAAAACGAAGATACTTAGATCTACACACCTAGATATAAATTAGATACTATTAGTTACTAAAAATCATCGGACAAATTATCGAAAATTAAATGCTTTTTAAGATTCGATTGGAATGAATACACAGACATGGCGTTCCGTAAATTCTGGTCCAAGGAGTTAAAAAATACTGGACCTTGATAGTAGACAGAAAATTGTCGTAATTTTGTTCTACAAAATGGTATACTAATTAGGTTCGAACTTCTGGTATTGTAGCTATGTACCTCGCTATTTACCAAAAACAAATTCTTAAATCTAGGAGGAAGAGAATTTCTAGAAGCAAGATACATAAATTTTCCCAAGCAGAATAGATAAATATCATTCAGTTTGAGAATCACACTCTCTTTAAATAGAGGAGAAGTATGAGCATCATATTCCTTCTTATTAATTATTCTGATTACACGTTTTTGAAGCAATACGATGCGTTCCATGTTAGACTGATAAGTTGAACCCCATACCAAAATACAATAATATATGCAAGTACGGATAGATTAATGAAAAGTACAAAGTTCTTAAACAAGATTTAGAGAGGAAAAAACTGGATTTGTAAATTATTCCAATTGATTTA